CTAAGGGAAGGCTGAGGGCTGAGTGTTGCTCATCCCTTGGCAGCAGCTCCCGTGCCAGGATCCAGCCCACTCCCGGCTGCCTCGGGCCCGGCTCCGGCAGCAGATGGGGATGGTTGGGCCCCCCCGTCACCCCCAGAATTAAATTCCTGCCTCCAGAGCATTCCCACAGCCCTCACACGGCACCATCGGGGGCAAGGCTGGCAATTTTAGGCAACAAAAACCCAGCGGGGCTGGATTCAGCGGAGCTGCCCCCGGAGCAGGTGGAAGAGCCCGACATTCCACGGGGGAAAACAGGCAGAGTGTGAAAGGGGAGAGAAATAAAACCGTGTGGGAAGGAGAGAGGCTGAGTTTAAACACCCATCAGCCCGAGGTTGGGAGATCAGCCGTGACTGCAGGAGCACGGAAAGGAGCTTGGATGTGATTAAAACCTCCCTGCTCTGGAAGGTTGGGATTTGTGTGGATGGCAAAGGGAGGGGAAAGCCCCGCAGGGCTGAGGTGCTGCACTCACCTCGATGAAGAAGAGGGCGGCGTTGGAGGTGGGGTGGCTGCTGATGTAGATCCCGGCCAGGATGATCCCGGCCACGAGCAGCACGGCCAGGACGATCCCCACGATGGTGCCGGTGGGAATCGGGGCCGTCTTGGAAGGAAGGCTGCTCCCCATGCCTGGAAAACAGGATCCAGCTGGGTCTGGAGCAGCGCTGACACCTCAGCACAGAGCTGCAGAGGTGGCATCTGTTAACTGGGACATTTGGGAGCAAACTGGGAATAACGTGGATTCCAAAGGCTCCACGGCCCAATCCCGAGCCCACTTCAGGCAGTTGAACTTCCCCTGAGCTCCTCCCAGAGAAAAGGGACACACACAGGGCCTGACATCAGCGAACAGGGCTTGGATCCTTCCCAGCCTCTGGAATTAGGAAGAGCACTATGGCAGCGGTTCAGTTCCCTGGTGGACAGACCTGGGGCTGACCAAGGATTCAGGGAACAGAGAGGACACTTTATATTTGGATTTTTATGCTGCTCTTTGGCCCAGCTGGGGAAATTCAAAGGGAAAAGGACTTTGTGTCTATGAAAATATGGCAAATAAAGGGAATTACACGGAAGGAGAAAACTCCCTGTCTGAGTTTGCACAGCAGGACAAACGGCACCGGGGTAAAACAAATCATTGCAGACTCTCACTTTTCACCCTCTGGAATTGCATTAACCAGGGTGAGGACAACAGGAATGTTATCTTGATGACGTCCAGGGTTCACCTGTCCCCCCTGCTGACCACTGGAATCCAGGGAAACCCTGGAGCAAGGCAGGGAGGAGGTGAAGGGCTTACCCTCTGCTCCTGCGAACTGATTGAGCTTCGTGTCGTCTGAAAGGAGAAAACAGGGCAGGAAAAAAATAAAATTAGGGGTTTTCTCCGATATCCTGCACGTTTCCCACCTGCTTCCATCCCCCCTGAGATGGGATCTCTGGGTAGTTTTAAATCTCTGCTCGTGGAAGAGGGAGGAACACGGAAAACAACAGTGAAAGCAGGTGGGATAGGGATCATTTTCCTTCACCGAGGTGGCACCTGGAGCACAAATATCTGGGAAAAGGGGTCACTCAACATGCTCAGAGTGCAAGGTCTGAACCATAAGTGGATGCTGGATGTGGGTGCCCACGTTCAGGCCCCAGCATTTGGGGCTAATGCATCCCAAATAAATCAGTGGGAGGTTACACTGGGGGCGTTTTCCGTGGGGGCCCCAAAATCCACTTCCATTCTTGGCCTCGCTCTGGGAGAACCAGGAGATTTTGTACAAGGCTTTGGCTCTTGGTGGTCTCCACATCCCCACCCTCACCAGGGTGAAATCCTGACCCAGAGAATTCCCACTGCTTGGCTTCCACCTCGTGCTGGAGGCAGCGCTGACACACGGCCGGTGAGTCAGACACGTCCACCAGCATCTCCAGGAGCAGATCCAGGGAAAAGGGCTGGCTGGGAGGGACATGGATCCAAGGAACTGGGCTGGTTGGGAGGGACACAAATCCAGGGAACAGGGCTGGCTGGGGGAGCATGTGGATCCAAGGAACTGGGCTGGCTGAGGAGGACAAAGATCCAGGGAGCTGGGCTGGCTGGGGAGGATGTGGATCCAAGGAAAAGGGCTGGCTGGGGAGGACATGGATCCAAGGAACTGGGCTGGCTGGGAGGGACACAAATCCAGGGAACAGGGCTGGTTGGGGAGGACACAGATCCAAGGAAAAGGGCTGGCTGGGGAGGACACAGATCCAAGGAAAAGGGCTGGTTGGGGAGGACACAAATCCAGGGAACAGGGCTGGTTGGGGAGGATGTGGATCCAAGGAACTGGGCTGGCTGGGGAGGATGTGGATCCAGGGAACTGGGCTGGCTGGGAGGGACACAAATCCAGGGAACTG